ACGCTGGTGGTACTAATAATCATGATGCCATGATGATAATTACCTCTGCAAAGACAGTCTTAAAGAAACGCTCCAGTAACTGCTGCCTCTTCCTCTTAGTGACTGCATTTTCTAGTATATTCTGCTGCTTGTCATGAAAAAACTGTAAATTCTTATTGAAGTCATTCAGGTAGCTTTTAAATTTTCTCAGGAATTCCATTCTGTCTTCTTCATCCTCGAACATCACAACCTATTATCATAATAAAATCATGAACATTGTTAAACATAACTGATTTGCATTAATGTACACACTTTTGTTTTCTGAAACTATTTCCAAACTTACTGGCATATTTTTCAATGTCTGTTAATATGATCATATTTTAACATGGTGAAGTAAATGCATGTGTGAAGTGTTTTTAACAACTTGCAATTTCTTTTCATTTTACATGGCTGGCTAAATGAAGTATATCAGTTCATTTCCACGTGCTTCAGCATGTTACACAAACTTTAAGGTTACATTTACACATACCAGATCATATTCATTAGGGATTTGAATAAGCATTGTTTCTTTCCCACGGTTCATGCTGAGCCAGACGTTAACTTCTTCAGACATTGAGAAGTCTAAATGGCGTATTTTCGTCCCACTAGCTGTTAAGACTAGCAGTCCACATGTCATGTCATCGAAATGTAGCTCAATGCTACGAGGAAGGTCTTTAGGATCTGTCCACTCAGTAGCTGAAAGGGGAAAAAGTGGGCATTTATTTCTTTCAAGATAAAGCTGATAAAAATACCTTATACAATGGCTGTGGCCAGGGCATGAGGCAGTAAAATATAAATGTAAATACTTACCTGCTATGTTTCCAGCATTGGCTCTCACCATGGACCGTAACTTGTCCATGTGCAGAGTTCTCTTCACTCTCTTTGTCCTAAACTTCTTCACTCTGTATATGAGGTAGGCCACCAAGATGCAGACTGGAAAATAATTAAAATAGTAAGACAGCATGTGCCTATGGTTAAGATACCACTCACAGAATACTCAAAGCTCAAATAAGTCTCATGTTTTTATGCTATTAAATGTCTTTTAAGAAAATTAAATTATGAAAATCTTACAAAAGACCTAGAAGACTAAGACCCCATTCCCAGAGATTAGATCGATCTACTTTAGATCGACCTAACTCCCTGGGGGTTCATGCTAAATAGCTGTCAGCCGAGCAGGCACGAAAGTTAATTACCCCCTTACAGCTTGTAGTAGGCAGGACGGACATTTAAGCCGAATTACCTGACAGTAATCTAGTGAGACTCCTTGCGGGGTTAGATCGATCTAAAAGCTCTGGGAATATGCCCTAAGACACACTGGGCCTAGTTTTGACTCCTTTTCTCAATATGATTTGGCTATCTTACAGAAGCCTACTTGTCCCTCACAGAATGGTGACAGCTTAGTGGTGACACCCCTAGGCAACCCACAGAATGACAGAATGGTGAAATTTTAGTGGTGACACCCCTTGGCTATTCACAGAATGGTGAAATTTTAGTGGTGACACCCCTTGGCTACTCACAGAATGGTGACACATTAGTGGTGACACCCCTAGTTTACTCACAGAATGGCACCAGTCCCAGTACCACAAGACTCCCTATAAACCAGAGCTCACTGCCAGCAAAGTAGTCCCAGCCCTGGAGATCTGTACATGGCTCCATATCCTCTGTCACCAGCTGCTTCTCTTGGGGGCAAGGGTCCCCTGTAATGATAGAATATGTTAATTAATTCATTGATTAATTATGTGATTATGAATCAATGATTGATAAATTAAGTACAGGCAGTAATCAAATTCAGGCAAGTTATACTGCGACAGTTTACCATATGAGTTGCTTTTATTATATGTTAAAAAAATGTAGACACATTACTTGTAAAATTTCCATCAGACTTTGTGATCATGTATGCATAGGGGCTCACAGTGACTCTGAATATAAATCATTTTGTTCTTTTAAAAAATTATTTAAGCCCATCTTCATGGAAGAGGTTTAGTTGTGAACTTGTTACCTTGTTGCCATAAGAAAACATCTCTTTGCAACCAATCTGGCTGAATATTTGTCACATTGGTGATGATGTCAGCAAACTTAATGCTCTTTATGAAGGCAATCTCATCATCTGTGAACAGCCTAGAACAAAACATCCATTTATTAATTTTGCATTTTATTAAATTTTCTAAGCATGTGCGTATCAGTTATATAGAATTCAATGAATGAGACTATAAGTTTTTTAATCATTTTGTCAAGGTTCAATTTTTGGAAGAAAAATTTAAAATATAGCAAGCAACTACTTCTTTGACTGATCAGGAGCTAACTTAGTGTGTTTTCATATTTATATATACTTATTTAATAAATTCATATAAAAAACAAGACAATAACACACACTCAGTGTATGGAAGACTCTTGAAAACCTGGATAATTCTAATTACAAACTATAGTTTTTTCAACAATTATCAACTACAAAGGGCCATGATTATAGTTACTGTCAGTAATAGAATACTATTAATGTTATACATAAGATATAATATTGCATAGCACCAGTGATGAGCTTGTAAATATGTACCCGTTTTGTTTATTCTCAAACCAGTATCTGTCTGCATCTCTGATACGGAGAAACTGGTCAAGAAGAATTTCACGGAATAGTGGTCCAGGGCCAAATCTGCCGGTTTCCGCCATACCCCCAGCAAAGACATCCAAATGCTCCATACTGCCATTGTACACACTGCGCAGTTTTTCAACAGTCTGAAAGTATGGAAAATGACAGAATTGCATTGAGCTGTATATCACATATTTTTATCAATACGGTAAAGTCTTGAAAATTTCGTCGTTCTTGATAATTTCGTCGGCAGATGATTTTCCGACGAGGTAATTTTTTTCCCTTTGAAAACTTCGTCGACATTGAAAATGAGGTACTCGATAATTTTTGAAAAGTTCGTCACCAAATATGGCCGCGTTGTCCAGCTCAAACATGAAGGTAATGCGTCAGTTGATTCAAGACAATGATACGATCAGGATATCATTGCCGATAACACTCTCAATGGGAGATAGGAACAATAGTGCGCCCCTGCGAGCGGTTACTCACAATATAGGTGGTTAAGATGTGAATTCCCGTTCTTAATTGCGGGAACATCGGCCTTTTGTCTAAATAGTTTCAATACTATTACCTGGCTCAAGGTGCGTTATCAAGCCGGCAAATAAAAGTCACAGGCCGCGGCTTTGTCATTTGTAACGCCGTTATTGTTATCGGCGGCTGTCCTAAATGAGGAAGACACAATGCAAAAAATCAAGATATTATCTCGAAGGAATATGTACCCGTCACTTCTATTCATGTTCATGTTCAATTTAGGGCCATTTGACGATTACCTGGCTCGTACATGGAGATCGTTCGCAATGCGAATGGGATGAGATGGCAATTTTCATATCTTCAGCGAAGAATCTTTCGCGTAATATCGTCAACAGATCGTTCGGGATCCAAACGAGACGAGAAGATAATTTTCATATTTGTAGCGGACTCCGTTCGCGTAAGATCATCAGCGGGAGATCGTTTGCGATTCGAGAGAG